CGGAGGCGGAGGGGGCGAAGCCACTCTCCCGAGGCCGAGCAGCCCTGGAGCAGGCCCCTGAACGAAGACAAGGCGGCTCCGTGCCTTTCCACCCACCGTGTCTGAGCCCAGTCGCTGCTGGAAGGTCCCCCGGCAGCCAGCAGATACCCCAGGGGCACCGCTCCCCTTTGGCACTGCCCTCCTGGTCTTCGGCTTCGCAGGCCGAAGTTTTTTCCTTCTTCCCACTCCGCACACAGAGGGCTGCCTGCCTGCCTGCCTGCCTGCCAGCTCCCAGGAGAGGCCTGCACAGATCTAAAAATGCTATGACCCGCATCCCAGGACATTTAATTACCTGGTAGTTGATGGCGTTCAGCAAGGAGCTCATTTTCAGGAGGAGGAATATTATACTCGATGGCAGAGGCTGACGGCCCTCTGGCTGATTCAAAGCACCAGTGCTGCAAAGTGAAGGCTCTGCCAGGGGTGGGGGGTGGGGGGCTCACAGTTCTTGCCACGTGCATCTGGGTGCAGCACCCTTCCAAACACACATTCCAAAGGATGTGACTTAGTGGATCCACAGGCCATGGAGGTTCTCCTGGAAAAGCCACCCTTCTTCAGGAGGAAGCCCTTCCCTCCATCTTCCTTATAACCCTGGATGGCTCTTGGTGGGATTTCCCCTAAGGAAGCTTTCAGGCTTTCCAGATTATCCTAATTTATGCATCAGCTTTTTGTCTTCTCTGAGGATGTCGAATGCACAAGCTCACCTCCAAAGCATGTTAAACTTGTGTTTGTCCAACCAAGAGTCTTGTTTCCTGGAAGAAACAGGGGGGAGGGGAGCATTTCAAACTCCACATTGAGAGTTCGTACACCGCTCAAAGTGAGAGGCAGTCCTGCGGCCAAGCTGCCATGGATCTGATGTCATGGACTGGGTCCTGCTTTGGTCCTCCCTTCCCTTCTCAGCTTCTATGTAGCCATGACAGAGATGCATCACTGAAGGTCTCAGCCTGCTTCCCATCCAGTCTATGTGCAGGATACCCCGTTATTCTTGGCTTCTTCTAGGCACCCAAGGAAAGGAGCAGCAGTTTGAGGAAGTGATGCTGATGGCCCACCTGTTCCACACCTCTAGTATCCCAGAGCCTCCCTGGCTTCTCTCCACTCCCCATCAGGAGCGGACAGACTTCCCGTGTCCCAGATGTTCATTAGGCTCAACATGATGGCAGCACCAACCAGGCCTGAGGGACACTTCAGAATTCAGGGCCAGATTGTCTCCCTGCAAGGGCACACTCCAAAACTGAGCTTAAAGTTCACTCTTGGTTGCACTGTCAGCATTCCTCGCTTCTTCATTTCAGGTTAAAATGGCATTGGGGAGTTTGTGGTCCAGGCTCTTGTGGGAATCCAGCCACTGTATGGTGTGAGCCAAGCCATCAGATTCCATCAGAATCCTTTTCTTTGCAGGGCCCACCTTTGCTATGTGATTGTCGGAATGGTGTCTCGTTAACCTGGTTTTACCTGCTAGTGTACGTGTCACTCCAGCCAGCCAGCTAGTTCCATCTAAATCCTGTGAATGTTGGATCTTTTTCTGATGGAGCCGTGGGATGGGCAAGGATAAGCCAGCCCAGTCCTGCTTGGGGAGGCTCAGCCTGTTCTGCTGCTTTGCGCTCCCCGTGGAGACTGCTGCTCACTCCTCAGGGAGGCGCGGCCTGCACCCGGCAGCCCACTGGTCTTGCCTGTCCCGGGGGCCTCTGCCTAGTGGAGGCTCGTGGGTAGGGCTCTAAGCCCTGCCAATGAAGCTCAGAGCAGGGTGGCCTGAGGACAGGCAGTCCTCCACCCCAGCTGGCTGTCCAGGGTCCTGGCAGCTTGCCCCACGACATCTGAGGGGCACCGGGTGCGAACGAGTGAGACGGCTTTCTTTGTGGATGCCTTTTTGCGACGCACTCATTTTACTTAAACAGAGAAGTCACCAGTCCAGGAAACACTCCAGCCATCAAGGAGGAGGAGGAGGAGGCGGCCTGATGGTGCCTGCAGGAGGGTTGGCAGGAGCACCTCTGGGAGCAATTTCCACAGCAGGACTCGGTGGATAAAATAGCCCTTTTCAATTTTGTTTGTTGTTTACATTTATTATGGCTGCCCACTCCAACAGACTCTGAGTGGCTTACAAGATCTAATACTGGGTTAAAGCAATTAAAAACATGGGGGGGGGGAAGAGTCAGTAAAACACCGCTTAACAGCCTCCCCACCTCACCCCCCACACACACATTTTAACCCCAGGGTGCCCCACAGAACAGGGTCCATACCTGCTCTCTCTAGTTCCAGCAAAGAATGGATTCCAGTTACAGGGAAGCAGGGTCCAGACTGAATTCCAGATTCCTAGGAATCCCACAATTCCTAGGATTGTGACATCTGTTAATTAGATGTCACAATCCCAGGCTGAACTCAAGAATCCAGTGGCATTTATCTCAGGCACAGAAGGGAATTGGGCCCTATGGGGAAAAAAGCTGTTGAGAAGGCAGAACACCTTTGCCTGATGGAGCAGGAGGCCTGAGCAGGCACCTTGCCCCGACTCCCAAGAAGGCAGTTTCCATGTGGCTCCTCGGGTGGGAGAGGGAAACTTGAGGCAACAGACTGGGGTAGCTGGAAGGAGACTCTCACCCAGGCAAAGGCAGGGTATGTTTACTTGCGCATCGCTTCTCTCTACACAGATTTCTCCCGGTTTGCCATGAAACAAAGCCCCCCCCCACACACACACACGCCCCTCTCCAGCAGACTGTCTCTGTCCTTGTCAGTTGGCCTCATCTCTCAGTCTTGCAGGGGGAAGGAAAGCCCACCCACCCAAGAGCAGCCTCCCCAACTCTGGAAATGCGTCCTGATCTTCCGCTCACTGGGCAGGCATGCCGTCAGCGCTGTCCCTCTTAGAAGGGAAGGGTGCTCTGCACTCCTCCCAGATAACCTGGGGCAGCCGGAGTGGGGTGGGTGTGTTTTGGGGGCGACAGACAGCTGAGAGAGGAGCTGAGAGGTGCTTGGCTGCCCCAAAAGATGGCAGGCCAGGAAGGCTCCACATCTCCCTGGCACCGGTCTCCTCAGACAGGGAATAGCTGGGAGTGCCTTGCCGCCCTGAGTGGCGGGGAGGGGCCCTCGAACCCCTTCCAGAAGGCAGGCAGGCAGGCAGGCAGGCAGGCAGGCAGGCCCAGCAGGGGAGATAGTTTTTCCTTATAGGGAGGGTGTAAGTGTGCTTGCCGGTGGGGTGGGGGGAAGCAGGGAGTGGTTTGGCGACAGAACCGAAGGAAGGGCAGCAGCTCCACTGGGCTCTGAGCCTTCCTGGGGTGGCCACTTCGTCCACAGAACTTTCTGCTGGTTCACCTTTGAAGCGCTGCGACCAGAGGAGGCCAGTGAGGAAGGCGCCTGACCGCTGCATCCTCGGGCCATGCTCTGGAGGCGCCTGGCTGTCCTTCGGCCACGAGAGGCTCTCCAGTACTGGCGGGGTGGGGGGAGTGGAAGGCAGCGCGCCCCAACGGGGGGGTGCTCAAGCCATTGCTCTGGGACGGAGGTGCCAGGGGCTGCGCGGACAAGAGTGGTCCCGCCCCTTGGGGGAACCAGGGAACCAGCTGGCCCCTCTTAACCGCCGGCCCCCAGATCTTGGGCCCCTCGGGGCTTGTGGTGCTGCTTGCCCCCCTGGCGTGAAGGGGCGGGGCTCTCCCACCTGCCCCCCCCCCCCCCGCCAGTACTGAAGAGCCTCTCGTGGCGGAAGGACAGCCGGGCGCCTCCAGAGCATGGCCCGAGGATGCAGCGGTCAGGCGCCTTCCTCGCTGGCCTCCTCTGGTCGCAGCGCTTCAAAGGTGAACCAGCAGAAAGTTCTGTGGACGAAGTGGCCACCCCAGGAAGGCTCAGAGCCCAGTGGAGCTGCTGCCCTTCCTTC